TTGAGTAGTGCTTTCAGGATTAAAGCAACTGGAATCAAGTTCTTCAGAGTTCTGTATTAAGATTTTATGTCCTCTGGACTACAATCTTTCTCAGGAGTTTTGGAAGTGTACACTGCAAACAATGTAAATACATGAAATCCATTTTCTTACTGTGTAAGGAAACATAAGGACCTTCAGGCTTGTGTCAGAAAGTAGTTTTTCATGGATTTCTCATCTTCCATTCAAAATGAATGATTCTGTTCTATTTGCGAGTGCATAACTTCCTAGCAGCATTTGCATTAATAGGAAAGTATATTTTATTACAAGAATAATGTGTCTTTTGGTCCCTTTCAATTTAATTTAATAGGTAGAGGAAAGGATTAGAGACAGCATCATAAGAACAGCTAGAGAGGTCATCTTTTCTCTGATGGCTCATGTAGGTTGTTCTGATATGGAGGGTTTTGTTCTAAGCAGTGGAAATAAATGCTGCGGTTTAGATCTCTGTATTATACAGGTTTTTTTGCAGATTTTCTAGCAATGTGATCTCATTTAAATGTTATTTCCTTTATTACAGTAGCATAGCAGTGTCTCTAAATGTCCTTGGCTTTGTTTCCTTCTGCAGAATGGTCTGCCTTCAGAACAAAACTGTTACGTCTTTAACGGTGATTTCGTTGACAGAGGGAAGAATTCTATGGAAATACTTATAATCCTGTTTGCATTTCTTCTTATCTACCCCAATGATTTACACCTGAACAGAGGAAACCATGAAGACTACGTCATGAACGTGAGGTAGATTTTAGGGGGCAGGGGGGAGTATCTGGCCTTTCACTAGAAATGTTGGAGCTTTTTAATGCTACTTTAGCCACTGCGGCACTCTAAATCAGAAATAATGTTTTATTAGGTATTTGGGTGTAGCTTTGCACCTTTGAGATGTGTGAGGGGGGCATAGAACATCCCCACTACACCAAACACCTGAACAGGAGTCATATCTCGTCTCTGACCTAATCACAGCCCATTGAAGTCAATGGGCTCAGTGCAGCTTCCAGAGCATCAAATTTGGGCAAGGGGGATGGATGGAAGGATGGTATTTTAGCTAAAGCATCGGCTTTTTTCATAGCATAGCAAAAGACATGATAGGACGCAATGTAACCGAACTGGTAAACCAGGAGCTGGTATTTCACTTAACTTTAGACTGAGGTGTCACTTCCCAGACACAAGGGGCAGGTGAATACCCTAGCTTCTACACAGTGGAGGTCCACTAGTTGAGAGGTGGCAGTTTGCCCCACTGCAGGAGCAGCTGAGGCTCTGTTTTCTGGTACAGACATTTGTACGCAGCTGTACAGCGGTGCCAAGGGAGCAAGCACAGCCAGTGTCTCTGGCTGTGGTGATATTGTGACTTGTAGACAAAATCATCTCACAGATGTGAGAAGAATTCCTTAGTCCTAGTCCCTGCAATTCTAAGCCACCCCAGTAAGTCCTAGGGTGACTGGCTGGTGGGTAACCTGCTGTGTACCCCTTCTTATCATTTGATGGGTGCACACAGACTGTGTTGCTGTTTTGACACAAGCATAAACCTCGGTTAGAGGCCCATGTTCGAATCCTATTGATGATCCATGTAAGAGAATCAGTTTCACATGACACTTCCTTTTTCAGCACTTAATTTAAAAAAAAACCCAAACCACCATAAACCAAGATCAGTTACTTTGTCTACAGGGTAGGAAAATTACCACCCCAAATAGTGGAAAATACTAAGTAAGTCTGTGATGGTACACAGTGCAAAGATGCATTCCTCTGTGTGGCTCTTCACTGGGCATTTTGATTAGCAGCGCTGCACATCGGTAAACCTGAAAGCTGAGAGTCAGGGTGTTGTGAAAATGCCCCTTGCACCAAGGATATCTTGGCGTTACAGGAATGAGGTATCAAAATCCTTGTCCCATGTGGGGGAAAAGACACGATAGACAACATTGTCTAATAAAGTGGAGTGATTCAGGACAAAAACTCTGTGGAGGTTTTGTGCGAATTTTTGCCTATCATCAATTAGGGTCCTTTGAAATGTCTTTCTGGTACCTAAAAGATAAAACTGCTAAGCTATTTCATTCAGATGTGACAAAGGCCACTTAATAATTATTGGTCTTGATTCTGTTCCTGATCTTTTGTATATACAAGAAATCGGTTTAACTCAATTCTTGAGACAGAGCAGAAGAAAACACATTTAAACTGAGGTGAGACAGAATGGCAGGAGAAAAAGGGGGCTAGAAAACTGGCAAACACTAGAGTGCAGAAAGTCATGCAGAAGGGGGTACTGAAAACCAGTTCATAAATGCTGTCCTATTTTCAGATATGGCTTCACAAAAGAAGTTTCAAAGAAGTACAAGGTAAGATTCCTCCTCCTTCCCCAGTATTTTCTTTGTAGTCTTACACATGTAAAATGAAACCTATATAAACAAGGAAACTTCCAGCCGGTTTATTTAGGTGTAATACAGAATGACTTTAGTAACATAGTTGAAATTATTTTGGATTATCAGTGGAATAACTGACAAAACAATTTTAAGTGTTAGCCTTCTGTGCTCAGAGACCTATGGGATGAAATAAATAACATCCGTAAGGCGACTCTAGAACACAGAAAGAGGTGAACGTGAAAGAAAAACGAAATGCTACAGAGGCAATCAAATGGCCCTAAAGTAAATGTCAGAACACGTTTGTCAGTGTTACAGTTCTGGGTGTCACTTGGATGGAACTGTTCAAACAGACTGTGGCAGACACTTCAGCAAAATTGTGAACTTAGAAGCAACAAAATCTGCCAGAAAGAGGATCTAATATAGGAGTATGTTTTACAGGACCATGGGAAACAGATTCTGTGTCTTCTGCGAGACGTCTTTAGCTGGCTTCCTCTTGCCACTATAATTGATAGCAAAGTTCTTATCCTACACGGAGGGATTTCAGACACCACAGATTTGGATTTCCTGAACACACTTGAGAGAAATAAGGTAAGAGATCATCTTTATGTGGGGGTAATTTTGTTTTCTTTAAAAAATTTAGCAGTACAAATGCTAAGATCAAATTGCATCAGGAAAGGAAATAGCTGCTGTATAAGGCATGTAAGGAAAAAAGAATCTTGTTTTTCTTCAAAATCAGTGTTTAGGAGGGAAGGTTTCAGTAGGTGTGGGGAGCCAATTGTTTGGCTGTTGTGAAATAACATGGGTCTTTTGACTTTAAAATAGCTAAAAACACTTTAGATGCCTCCTTCCTGCAGTGATGACGCATTACTCAGAAAGCACGAAAAGTACTTAATTCTGAGGCATTTCCAAACACTTTAGAAATCAATCTAGCCACAGCTTTCTAGCACTGCCTTTTGTCCCAGGGCTGTGCTTATGCCATCTGTTGTGTGGGGGAAGTTCTCCACCTGTGAGGCGCTCCTGCCGAGCTTTGCATATGTGGGAGAGACTTTCCAGCAGGACCAAAATTCAAGACCTGACCTTGAGAAAACAGAAACTACTGCTTTTCAGGGATTTAGAAGACAGAAACGTTCATTTTTTCCTGAAATGGTGAGCAACCACAGCTCTTTCAAATCAGTGGAAAATGGGGTGGGATTTGGTCTCGATTTGGACAAGTAAATTGAGATGTCTGCTTGTGATCGGGGTGCTTAGGCTCCTTATAACCAATGGAGATCCAGGAGATCTGGTGGAGATCCACATCGTATCATTGCTCAGACAGAGCTCTCCAGTGCTGTTCATGGAAGTACCCCATAGCCTAGGGTTGTCCCCTCTGGCCTTTGCCTGCCTCTGGAGAAAGTCTTCACAGGTCTCCTCCAGCAGTCTCCTTTAGGTCTGATTCATATCTGCCCACCTCATGCTAGTTCACAGACATGGTAGAGCATCCCAGATTGCGCGAGATTCCTATGCTTAAGCATCCGTGTGTATCTTGTCATTAGTGTCTGTGGCATCTAGAGCTATTTCTGCCATCCTGTTTTCTAATGCAGAAGTAAATGCTTTACAGGACAGTCTGTAAAGACTGGTGTAACAGGTGTATCTCTGTTTTTTGAAGATGTGAACAAGGGCAATGCATCCTTCTGGTCATCGGAGTCTAGGCTCCATTGGCTGTACCACTCTACACTAAAATTGGGTGCCTACAGATGTACGTGTCTTAACTGTGAGCAGAGTTCTGCCCACGCTTTCACCCAGGCTGGGCTCAGCGTGATACTGATG